CACGCCGGTTTAACACTTACAGTAAAATATTTTAACACAAGCAAGTAATATCTTTGAAAAATCCACCAACCATTTCCTTCCCCCGAAAAATCGATCACAAAAAACTCATTCATCCCAATTTCTAATCCACATACTTTTAGGACAGAGACAGAACGATCCAAAAACGAAAAAAAACCTATCGAAGCAAAGTATTAGCTTTACAAATGGCTTTTGTTTTGGACCCTTTTATCCCTGTCAGAAGGGGGTGGCTTTGTCACTTATCACCCTGGCCATTGACGGGTTGAAATATGCCTGTACTGAGAGTATACTTAATGGTCAAATGTACCCTTGAACCAATTTATATTTGTGTAATTTGGCGTATTGACATATGTTTACGGGAATCGAAAATTGTTTGTCTAGACATCGTTTTATTGGTCGAATTATGAATATAGTATGAAGTAAGATACAAATATTTTTCTGGAAAAAATAATCAATCCTTGAATAAGATTAACAAAAAAATATGTTTCTTCTCTGCTCGTAATTGCACTTAAAGAGCAGGAAAAAATCGTTACGCCCTGGTTCAGACAAATTATTTTAATAATAATTATTGATATTATATATCACAGAATAGTTTTAAATGTGTACATATTATTTACATATTTAAAACGCTATCAACAATAAATATAAAAAATAAACTTAATCTAGATTATTGTGATTGTGATGATATAGAAAGAGATAAACTTTGAAATGTAGAGTACCTAGAGAACTACAATGTACCTACGCAGAATTTAAAACCATAACTTCATCTAAAATCCAACGAAACACCAAAAAAACCTGCTATTGTATGGAATTTTATGCCGAATTATATGTTCCCCCAGGGGTATATTTACTCCTGGCTGTTTTCAAAGGCCAAGTGAATAGGTTACTTATGGTAAGTGAGCTCCATTTTAGGTCGCATCATCATTTACTACAAGGCGAGATAGTTTCCAAACACCAGATTATTAAAACAAAATACATCTAAGTCGTAACATTCACATTTTAACAACCCCTTTTTCCACAATTCGACACCCAAACTAAAAACTGCGAAAATAAATGCATATTTAAACGTATCCTTTACCAAACTCCGAGTACCACAAGTCGAAAACTACTTAAACCTCTCTACAAATAAGTATATTGACAAACAGGACGAGGCAAAGGGATTTGATGGCATTAACTTAATCCCTGGTCAATGGATACACATTTAGAGTGATCGCAGAATTATTTATCACAAGGTTTGTTTGGACAAAATGGTTCCGATGGATAGGTGAATCGTGTTCTCATTTGATACATCAGTAATTTGATCAATGGGTCGCTTTGTATTTGGGTGGCTTTACAAGGGTTTTAAACAGTAAGTAATGTTGTGTTTGCTCATTGTTTACAATCAGGTGATACATATGTCGTGAAACAATTAGGCAGATTACCTGATGGTAAGGAATCAATGCCACTCATGTGCACCCGCAATATCAGAGAATTTACGAGTACATTGCCGGTATTTCGGGGATTAGGGAGGGATAAGGAGAGGGGAACGATTGGCCCTTCGGTAACGTCACTCAAACGGTGATATACAACCCTGTAATTATTTCACGCTGGTGTTCTTCGAGACCGTGGTATAATCTCCGTCGTGCCGATCCATTCGTGCCGAGGTGTGGCTCTCCCACATTTAATGAATGAAATAATTTATGAACTTGTTTACAAAACTGTTTTTATGATAATGTGTATGTAACCTTCCATTGTAGTAGTCGATTTATGAAACCAAAGTGTTACTAGGAACCATTTTAGAACGTATTTTATTCGGGTCAAGCCGACCTTTTCGTGCAAAATACTATGGATTTCCCATACTTATTTTTGTCAGGGAAAAATCATCAAATTATTTCTCCCGCTCAGGGTGGGGAGAGACAGTGTCAGACTCGTACTGACTAAAAACCCCTCTTTCCTTTTCCTGCTCTGGGCCGAGGCCGCGGTGACTCATTGCGCTTAACCCGCAACCCCGGCTGAAGATCAGCCCTGTAGGGCCCCGTCTATGGTGGTCTATTGGCTCTTTGAGGCGCGCGCGGAACGCTAAGCACCGTACGCTCGGGTCTGGTTCTGGTCGGGTGGCAAGCTAACCTTACTAGCCGTCCGCAGACCCGCGCTTACGGTGGCCGGAGATCATCTCTCGATCCCCGACGCCCGGAGGCTTTCCAATACTTGGCTTTTTGTATTACATAAAAATTTTATACTATTTTTTTATGATATAAGTCGGCAAACGAGCAGGCGGATTACCTAATGGTAAGCAATCGGCGCCGCCCATGGACACCCGCATCACCAAAGGAGTTTCGAGTGCGTTGCCGGCCTTTTGGGGATAGGGGTTGCGGATACAAGGATTGGGAAGGGATAGGGGAAGGGGAGGGATTCCGCCTCCGGTAACCTCACTCACACGGCGAAACAACGCTGTGGGTTGTTTCACGCCGGTTTTCTGTGAGGCCGTGGTACCACTCCGGTCGAGCCGACCCATTCGTGCCGAAGCATGGCTCTCCCACAGTTTACTATTGGGCCTTATTTCACCGAAGTTACATTATTTTAGGTTATATCAAGTTTTTCTTCACTCAACACTTTTTCTTTACTTGTCATCCTTTGTTCTCGTTAAGTTTGTGAAGAAAATAGATATCGCGCCTTTATTCCCCAAAGAACTAGACAGTAACGCATACATTACAAGTTTCTAGACACTTTCTATGCCTTTTTATATTCTTTTGTGAATGTGTTTCAGATGAAAATATTCTGTATTTTTCTGATATTTATTTCAGATATTATTATTCTTGATGTTATTGCATAGAATAGAATAGAATACAATAAAATAAAATCGAATAGGTACTATTAATAAAAAAGTTAATATAATGAAGAAAATGGATTTTCTTCGTATTTATTTAAACTAGGTATATATGCAATTTCATATCGGTGGATTCAATTGTTGTTACTATGTACATGCAAAAGGATCGGACTGTTTTTAGATTTTCTCATGAAATTGTAATAATATGACATTTTGTATTATGGACATGGTTAGAGTAGGATCAAATTTTGAAATTATTAAACACTAGCTTTTGCCCGTGACTCCGTTCGCATGGAATAAAAACAAGTTACGCAAACTACGTCTGTACCAAATTTCATAGAAATCGGTTCAGTAGTTAGGGCGTGAAGAAAAGACAGACAGGCAGACAGACAGACAGAGTTACTTTCGCATTTATAGTATTATTTTGGATCACCTTAAAAATTCCTTTCCGTCCTTATATTTTTTTTAAAATCAATCCTGGACTCATGTTTATTGAATTTAAAATGCGTATGGCTATATTAATAAATTGTTTTTTTAATATCAACCTTGACCTATTCTAGAAAACATATAAAAATCATATATTCCCATATAAAATTACTTATTCAAACCATATTCTCTCAACATGATGGTCGAAACTCCATTAACCCTAAAGTGCCATTAAAAATGACTGCCTGTTTATTTCACGTGTCGGGTCTAAAGATCCCCTTACACTTGTAATTAGAAGCTAATGAGAGCCCGAGTAAGGACTAATTACACCAAACCTTGAAGTTGTTCGTCTAACAACTAAAGGGTACTTTTTGGTCTCTCTCAACGTTTTCAGGGTTGGATTGAATATTTACAAGATGGCTAAGAATGTCAATAGTTGCATGTTTCAATTGTTGAACTGATCTTGCATGGCCTGGTTGGGGAAACCCATAATTTCTATAATTAATGACACCAAAACCCCAGTTCTCTGCCAGTCAAACCTTTGGGTGATGCCGAGAGAAACTAGTAAAGTTTTTATTTAAGGAATAGGAGGCAAACGAGCAGACGGATCACCTAATGGTAAGCGATCAGCGTCGCCCATGGACACCTGCAACACCAGAGGAGTCACAGGTGCGTTGCCGGCCTTTAAAGAAGGAGTACGCTCGTTTCTTGAAGGTCGTATCGGTTCGGGAATATCGCCGCAGGCCGTCATTCCAAAGTTTTGCTGTGCGGGGCAGAAAGTTACGGGTGAATCGCACAGTTGTTGACTGCCAACCATCTATGTGATGGGAATGAAAAAGTTTTCGCGTGGGACGATGGCCTAAAGATGCGACGGGGATCAAACCAAACAATTCCTCAGAACACTCCCCGTGATGAATGCGATAGAGAATACATAGCGAGGCTACATATCTACGCAGTGGCAAAGAGATCGATGAACAAAGCAAGTATAATCTAGAGAAATTATAAAAGTTGTGGACATACATCAATTTTTTCTATATGTATACCTAACAACAAAATCTTAGTAATATTATAAATGTGAAACTTTATGAGAACGTTTGTAATTGTGGATGTATCATTGTTGTTCTTTCACGCTAAACGGATGGACCGATTTCCTTGAAATCTGGTATGCAGATAGGTGACCCTGGATTATTACATAGGCTTATTTATTCACTATGGGCGGTAGCTTGTACCTGCGTACAAATATTACAAATACTATTTAAAAAGCTATTTGCGGTCATGATAGCGATGACTCTCTCAAAAGAAATTTTATTTTGCTTGAGTGGCAATCAACTAGACACATTTTGATCAAATACTTATGCATCTGTGTAAAAATACTCTCTTTAAAAAACCAATCAAAAATTTCATCACCCTCTAGTGTACAATAACCTATTTCGTGAGCAATTGTCTTACGCATCAACTTGAAACCTATTTTTATCTAGATTCGTATAATCAAATAGTTGACAATATCACAATTGGCAAGCTAAAAACGACTCTATTGCTTTCAGAAAACGGGTTATTTAGGCATCAAGCTGTAACTAAAGGTACATTAGACAATGCATGGGCGGGTTCTGAACCCACATCACGAGGGAATCCCTTTTGACAGCTTATTTTGGGCTAATCTTTCGTTTTCTGATCCACCAGTCATATTGTACTAGTTGGAAATTATAATAATATTGTTATATTAGCGTGGGAGGGCCAAGCTTCGACACGAATGGGTCGGCTTGACCGGAGTGATACCACGCCCTCACAGAAAACCGTCGTGAAACAACGTAAGGTAAACGGAGGCCCAATCCCTGACATTTACACGTCCCAATACATCCCAAATTACTGACATACGGCGAAAGAGAACATCGTGAGGAAACCTGGACTTATAATTTCTAATTATAAGTTTCAAATCGCCAATCCGCCTTGAGCAAGCGTGATGATTAATGCTCAAACCTTCTCCGTGTGAGAAGAGGCCTTTGCTCAGCAGTGGGCACTTATTGGTTGATGATGTTATCGACCGAATTTTTGAAGACCCCTAACGATGCTCTAGTCACAAGATTACTCTAACTCTGCCTGTCTGTCTTTTCTCCACGCCTAAACTATTGAAAGGATTTCTGTGATATTTGGTTCAGACATAGTTTTGATCTCCAGAAAGGCCATAGAATAGTTTTACGTAAATCAAAAATCTGCAGGAAGTCACTATTCTACGCGAACGAAGTCCAGGGCGAAAGCTAGTATTATATGTACATATATCTCTCACAAAAATACTTAGAAATCTGTGTCCTATTTATAAAAACGAAACGGTTTAAAACAAACATAGATCTACTTCTGTGATCATTTACAAAGAAATTTTCAGTTTGTTGCGTAACTTGTTATGCTTACAAAGTGAAATTGTTTCTCGTATTATACACGTGTTTAATGAATTGAGAGGTTCCGTGAAGATAAAGTACCTATATATGTGTATGTTTGTAAGTTTGTATGTATGTATAAGTATGTAGGTACGTCATTATATTATAATGACTAGCGGCCTCACTCGGTTTTGCACCGGTGCTTTATCCCTATCCAAGAGAAACATGTCATTATTTTAGTCACACGAACCTTAATGGACATTTTTTTTTAATGCATTCAGTATTTTTATGATATACTAGCTTTTGCTCGTGACATTGTTCGCGTGAAATAGTGAGTTCCTGCAGATTTTTGGTTTAAAAACTATCCTATGTCCTTTTTGAGTTTTTAACTATGTCTGTACTACATTTCACGCAAATCGGTTTTTTACGTGATAGGTCGGCAAACGAGCAAACGGATTACCTGATGGTGAGCAATCAGCGCCGCCCATGGACACCCGCAGCGACGACCTTTTAGGGATTTGGAGATTTTGGGAAAGAGATCGGATTAGGGTAGGGGAAAGATTGGGCCTCCGGTAACCTCACTCACACGGCGAAACACAACTCTTTGGTTATTTCACTTCAGTTTTCTGCGAGGCCGTGGTATCACACCGGTCGAGCCAACCCATTCGTGCCGGAGCATAGCTCTCCCACACTTGAAACTCGGTTCAGTAGTTTAGGCGTGAAGAAAAGACAGACAGACAGAGTTACTTTCGCATTTATGATATTAGTTCGATTTTATTTACTTCATTTTATTCACTTCAAAATAAGAACATATATCAAAAAAGAAAAAATACTATAACAAAAGAGGAAAAATATCAACCTAACCTCTTTTTTCGAAACTCCGTAGTCTTATAAGATAAAAAGAGAATAATTATACTATTTTGAACACAATAAATGCTATTCTAAAATCAAACTACAATCACTGTTATTTAAATACAACCACAACATAATAGGTAGAAGATTCAAAATTAATTGTATCCCCTAAAACAACACGTGACTAATGAACCGCAAGGGTTCCGTAGGACATAAAAAATGCGTTAGGAGACTTATTTTGTTCATATAGCATGATTGATGAATTCTATTGACATATCACTCTTTGGGTTCTGTATATCAATCATCCTTTATTAAATTAGGAAGTCTATTAATGTAACTTTTCAAATATATTACATAGGTATTAATATATTGGAAAGGATTTACTTTGAACTTAAATTTTGTATTGGACCATGATTTATTTGTATACTTATTTGAAAAATGTTTTTTTATGTGATAGGTTGGCAAACGAGCAGACGGATTACCTGATGGTAAGCATTCAGCGCCGCCCATGGACACCAGCAAGAACAGAGGAGTTACGAGTACGTTGCCGACCTTTTGGGGATTAGGGATTTGTAGATTTAGGGATTGGGGGAGGGGAAGGATTAAGCCACCGGTAACCTCACTCATACGGAGAAATATAACGCAACGTTTATTTCATACCAATTTTCTGTGAAGCTTTGGTGTCACTCCGGTCGGACCTGGCCTATTCTATGGCTCTATGGCTCTGTCACACATGTTCATGGAATGTCTTCTGACGCCCAGGGTGAGGCGAGAGGGAGAGTCAGACTCTTACTGACTAAAAACACCCCAGTTTCTTCTCTTGCTCTGGGCCGAGGTCGCGGTGCCTCATTGCGCTTACCCCGCGACCCCGGCTGCTTATATTTTAACGTTATTTCTACCAGCATTATCATCATCATCGCTATCTAAAAGTATCTTCTCAAACGAAGAAAGAATTAGCGTTATTCACCACACTTGGTCAAAGCGGTTTGGCAATATCACAAAACATATTATTGGGGTTTTTTTAAAACCAACATTTATTTAAAGGACACCAGAGTGTGATTTGTTCGCAGCGAGATGGAAGAATGTATGTCGTGAATGTGTAAGATTTTGTGAGAAGATATGTTGGTATATGGTTGATATAAGTAATGATAATAACAATTATTGTACTAACTTTTTTATAAAAGATACCTATTACATAAATGTAAAGTAGTAAATAAGTTTAGTGTGTGGTGTTAAATTATGCATGTGTGTTAATTTAACAACTATATCTCGCGCGATTACACCCGCTGCTACCAATCTTAACGTGATGTTTTGTAACCTTCCTCAATAAATGGACTAACAAACACAAAAATAATTGTTCGATTCGAACCAGTAATTCCGGGGATTAGCGCGTTCAAACAAACTGTTAAGCTTTATAATATTATATATATAAGTATAGATATTAATATTGTAACTAATAAATCAATAGCTCAATATGCCATATTGACATATTGAAGTAGCTCATTCCAATTAAGATAAGATTAGATTTTAGCGCATGGAAGTATAATATGCAAAAAAATATGATTCACCGGAAAGATTAAATTTTCATGGTTTTTTTTTATTTAACCTAACTATTCTTTTTATAGGTACTTCTTTCTAATCCATGGAAAACGAAGGATTCTTTGTTTCACCAGTCGAATTAATTTTAGGAAAGCTACTTCTTTGTTTTGTTTATCTCTCTTAAAAAAAAAACACGTTCTCTTTACTTACGATTTTGAGTAAATTATCACTATATACCTACAAAATAAATAGGAATAAGTATATAAAAAGATTATTTAAACCATGGGCAAATAAGTTTAACAGGAACTCAAATGGAGAAACTGAACACGCCCATAGTATGAGAAGTTGTGACTTAACTTTTTTAGATTAAAAACACGGTAAGTATACATTTTTATCATTGTACTTACAAAAAAACGATAGTCACTACGTTTAAAACAACTTTTAATTTTTTTTTACGAGTACTTTTTTTTCTGACGTTATCTATTTTAGCACGATATCTTTATAAGGAAAGAGGATCAATAAGTCAGATCACAAAGCGGTAAGCGCCAGCCATACCAGAGAAGTTCAGACAAGTCATAGAAATTCAGTCATATATAATAAAAAAAATTATTCTGCTCAACTAGGGACTTAGCAAACAAATGCCATCGATGATTTTTAACTCTTGAACTCTAAACTCATATGATTAAGCCCAATATCGCTATTCAGTTTTTATAGCATAGGACTTCAAAGAATCAGATTACTTGATGGTAAGCCATCGGTGCCACCCTTAGGTCGCTCATGACCTTAGTGCCAAATCATAATTATGTTCATCTCTCACACTTTGAATAATGTAAAAAAGGCTCTTAACATATACTTCTACAGCCACAAGAACAAAGAACCAACCTCAGTTTCAATATATTAAAATCATGGTTAAAATATTACTTTGGAACCTTAAAAATTTGACGCTAAAGAATAAGGTTTCGTTTGAACGTGAAGGACAGAAGTATAATTATACCTAACCTACAAATTAACTGGTTTTAGCTATTCTTTTACTAATATTATAAATGGGAAAACGTGTCCATCTTTGTTCTATACGAAATAGAGCGTTTTTATATCGTGATTTTTGTATTAAAAAAAAAGTTAAGAAGCTGATGATAAATATCAATCACATAGGTTCTTGTCCTATTAGACCACAAAGGTAAAGTCATTAAAAAAACTGATAGTTTACGAAAAAAGACTTAGGTTAAGGGTAAAATTACCCTGAGAAGGTCTAAGCGTATCATCGTAGCAAAGCAAGGATTTGTCAGAAATATGTTTATGATATTTTATTTTATTGACAAAAATGTTACTTACATTACAGTTCATAAAACTGAGTACATAAAACTTAGGTGAGTGGTCGAAATGTGCTCATATTTTTCCTATAAAACTCCTTAGAGACAATTTCTGCTCTTCCCTACAACCCGACGACCAGCTATATTTAATGTTTTTGATATACTCAATCACACTCACATTTTTTATATTATGGCTCTACCGAAAAATTTGCCCATTTTAATATTTAGGTATGTCATAAAGTAATTACTTTATTTATTATACGACAAAATTATTTGATATTGAACAAAAAAATAAACTTGAAAACATATATCAACAGTGATATACTTTATAGTAATACGTTGATCCCAAAAAAAATCTGTTCGGTTTCAAACGAAATACTGATACTTAATCAATTATTGTTTTTAAAAAATGTCCTTAGACTCTTATATTTATGATAATAAATAACAAGTTTGATTAATAGATCAATAAATTTGAAAACCTAAGCTCGTCGTAAATTTTAACAGACCAACATGATAAATCCACTCAAAACATTTTAATCCTAACAAATACGAGATCAATGAAACAATTAAAGTAAATAGTAAAACTTAATAATCAATCATAATTTAACTCACCCTGTACAATTTAACTTTTTGAGCACAAAACTTTCATAAACTAAGAACTCACTGTTACAAAATCACATCCAAGAAAAATGCAAAACACAAGATTATTTTCTCCAAAAAAAATTCAAATTCGGAACTCAATTTTTTTGAATTATACTTTTCTGTACCTCCAAAAAAACAACACACTATATTGTTTTACTTTTTTAAATCCAAAATATCGTGCGTAAGTTCTCGTGTCACTGAAAACGGAGCTGAAATAACATCCGTTCGCGTTCGACGTTGGAAAGCTACTGAATCGCGTCTCGATTGGGCGCAAGTTTCAGCCTGAAACAAACTTCAGTAGCTGAACGAACTATGTCATTAACCCCTACTTCATTTATCCTTAAATTAAACCTTTTTCAGATGATAACTCTAAAGAAAATTAAGTGTTTTGGTCTGAGTGTTAATTTAAAAAGTCACCCGATAGTCTAATGCAATTTGCTTTTAAAAATTGTTCGAAAAAGGAACGTTAATTTCATTTCACATTTATCGCTCACCGCAGACATTTTTCATTTTAAATTTAATAAAAATATATTTTGTACCTTTAATTAAAAGTTATATAGAAAGCAACGCCACTTAAATATAAGAACAATCGCTACAAAATGAGGATAATCAAACTAAACAGAACTCCAATCATTAAAATTACAAAAGTAGTATCGTTTTCACCGTTGTAAAAGTATACCTAACTCTTTATATGAAGTAGAAAAATTCAATGCCTATCTATCTACAGTCTACACACACAAAACATGTCGATTGTTCTAATTTAAAACTATTTACTATTTTAAGTTTGGAAATATGTTGAGCCAAAGTTGAAAAAGTGAGGCAGCCAGAGCTTACCCTCACCTTTTTCAATAAAAATAAAAACATTATCACTATAATTATTTGGCTTAAACTTACCAATGTTTTATGAAGAAATATTTTTTTAACATAATGTTTCTATTACCAAATTCACTACACATTTTTAACACAATTACCGTATCCATAAGAACGGTAGCTAAATTTTGATACCTGTCTCAAAAGGCCTGTAACAGAGAGCCACTGAAATAGCCTGTAAACCGATTACATCCACCGCAGATACTATAGAGCTATCCATTCGTACAAAGGCGACAATTAGTCCTTTGAACCTGTTCGGATTCGATTCAGATCTAGGAATCCTTACTAATAATTTGTGAACCTATATTTGTTCTTAGTTTTTTTACATCAATATCTAGCAGCAAATCTGTATGTCTTTATATTGTCGTGGCGGCCCGCAGGCCAAGGCGCCCGCTTCTGAAGCAGGAGGGCACAAGTTCAAAACGTGGCAAGTACCAATGTGACATTTTTCGGGTTATATGTACTTTCTATGATTATTTAGACACAACCGACATACGGTGAAGGGAAACATCGTGAGGACACCTTTTTTTTGTGAGGGAGAGAAAATCATCAAATGACTTCTCCCGCCCAGGGTCGGGCGGCAGGGAGTGTCGGACGCTTACTGACTAAAACCCCCCTGTTCCTACTCCTGCTCTAGGCCGAGGTCGCGGTGCCTCATTGCGCTTACCCCGCAACCTGGCGTCGTGAGGACACCTAGACTCGTAATTTCTAATTAAAAGTTTGAAATCGCCAAACCGCCTTGAGCAATCGTAGTGATTAATGCTCAAACCTTCTCTGTGTGAGAAGAGGCCTTTGCTCAGCAGTAGGCACTTTAAGGCTGATGATGTATGTACCTATTAATGTGATCTAGCAGCAATGTCGAAGGTAAGATTGGTCATCTGATCACGAGTACCCGCAGGAGATAGCCCACTGCAGCAAGCAGTTATGCTCGCAAAGAAGGAGGTGGACCACGAAGGGGAGCTCTTCACTGTACCTCAGGGTATTTCAAAAACCTTAGAAATTACATACCAGTTTATAATATGGAGACATGCCAGGTTTTGGATACGCACCTTCATAATTGAGAGGAGCGACTCACGGGCCGCCAAGAGACATGTTAAAAAAAGTTGATTACACTAAATTTCAAAAATGCACAGTGTAACGCAAATTTTTAAACACGCAATCGCGAGGAAAACAAAATC